CCCCTCGAAGTAATCGTGACCGATCATGTTTTGGGGATGGCGCCAATCAGGTGTATACAAGGGTCGCCAGTCGAACCCGAATATCCTGTTGGGCAGCACGCCCACTGGAACAGGCTCACGGGGAAGTCAAATCAAACAAGGCCTGTGGGTTAAGAGCTGTATAATCCTGTTGACACACACACACACACAAACATACCAGATCCTGTAGGATTTCCCAGTATCGAATTGGAAGATTGCTATCTGGTTGACGTGGATGGAGGAGAGGCAAGTGTATATGCGTTGAAGCGGGACGTGCATATCTGTCTTCGGGAATTGTTATGAATTCACTAATACGAAGGTTTTGTCATATCTTCTCTAGTATAATTATATTGGAGTTCTCCTGTAGACTTTTTTTTTGTCAGAATGCAGCCACCCGTGAATGGTTGCGTCTATTTTCCAACATGCACCTCCCCTTCAGCCTTAAGATGGCAGCATGTTTCCACGATCCCCTTAAAGAGTAATGCCTGATGCTTTTTCTGTACATTACAGGTAATTTCGAGACTACATGAGCCCCCGCAGGTGTGTTGCACCTCCTTACTTGGTGTTTTTATATTGTTTTAATATCATTTCCCCGTAATTTAATGACCGCGCTCTTTCTCGTTGTGCTGGCTTTAAATAAAAATTTTAAAAAAAGGCATTACGAGGACCTGTTCAAGACACAACAGAGCGCATTGGATTGTCGCATTTATCCTGCACAATAGCCAAGACAGAGCAACCTGTCGTGGACGACTCCGTGTAGAAACATCTGCTTCGCTCGGATTCCAGCTGCAAGTCAAATCCTCAAGGTTGGTAACAGGATTTTCATTTACTTTGAGAAGTCAGAGGAGTTAATTAGTTGCCGGGTGCAACCTCAACAGTTACGTCTATTAATTCCCAACCACCGGTCCGCAGGCCTTTTTTTTAAATTTTTTTTTTTAACTGTCGCAGAGATAGGTCGACATAAATTCTAGCGGGGAATATATTTCCTGATCAAGAATGTCCATCATCACCCAAAGGTGATTAGTTTCTAACCGGAAAGACGTTTCAATACTCGGAAGTGACGTCGTCTAGTTCGTAGCGCCGGAATGTAGCATATAGCATATCGTGTTGCTTTGAGGAGGAGTTACCGTGCATGTGGAAAAAAAAAATAAGAGTCAACATTTAAAGACTTCTGTGGCCCCAGGAGTCAAGTGTGTCAATTCAGACATCAGAGATGAACAAAAGTGTTAGTTCTGAGTTAATATAGGCTTGATGTCTCACAGTATACAAGCTTGAGTTCCCCCAGCTAAACGTTGTCAGAACGTCGAGCTTTCTCCCAGTTAGTGTCAGCTAGCTCACTTCCATGTCTTCTGCTCTCCATAGTTACTTTGTGTTTTTGGAGATAAAGGAGTTTTACTTTTCAATTTCCCTGTTCGTGTCTGCTTCTGGGTCCAAATTCTGCTCCTTACGTGACACAAACAACTTGACTCATCAACAGCATACAGTCCAATTTTTCCTGCTCACCGGGAATGAGATATTGTGAATTTCAAACCCAATTCCAATGACGTGTTAAAAAACAAAAATTTGCAAATCATCTTCAACCAATATTTCATTGAGTGGACTACAGGGAGAAGATAATGAATGTTCACACAGATAAACTTTATTCTTTTGAGCAAAAAAAAAAATCATTAACTTAGAATTTAGGAAAAAAAAGACTTCTAAATTTGAGGAATGCTCATTAAACACCTATTTGGAGCATCCCACAGGTGAAGAAGCTAAATGGAAACGGGTGGGTGCTGTGATTGGGTATAAAAGGAGCTTCACTGATTTGCTCAGTTATTCACATTAACAAGCAAGAATCAGAATCTCAGTCAAACAATTTAAGGACAATGTTGCTCAACGTAAAGTTGCGAGGAATTTGGGGATTTTATCATATATGGTCCATAACATCATCAAAAGGTTCAGAGAATCTGAAAAATTGAAAAACAGATGATGTCATCCAACATTGGATCACAGCAAAATCCATTTATCAAAAACATCCAGAAACGCCGCCGGCTTCTCTGGGCTGGAGCTCAATTAAGACCGACTGACGCAATGTGAAAAACTGTTCTGTGGTCTGACGAGTCCACAGTTGAAATCGTTTTGGGGAAATTGGAGAAGTCGTGCCAGCCGGGCCAAAGAGGAGAAGAATGGTGATTTCATGGAGGCAAAATTCAAAAGTCTCGGTGCTGCGCTTTCGTTGATTGTCTCCCGTTCGGCACTTGGAAACTTTGCAAGTGAGGCTCGTCATAAGCCGAGTACGTTGCGGTATCGATTGACATCCATTTGGAGAGACCGTATATTTTCCTGTCTTCTGTTTTGTTCTTCTTTCAGGAAAGAGTAATGTCATCGGCACCCGTTCACAGGATCCTACGACCTCTTTTTTTGTTCTTCTTTCAGGAAAGAGTAATGTCATCGGCACCCGTTCACAGGATCCTACGACCTCTTTTTTTGGGCACCTTCATCCTGGGGTGCTTCGTGACTCTCTTTTTGATGTATTTTAAGCCGTCCACCAGCTGGCTGTCGGGTTCCGTGGAGTCCAACGTGTCCAGCGAGCGCCTCAAGGGCGTCTTCTACGCCAAGGGCGACCGCAACCTGACCACCGTGCTCATCTGGTTCTGGCCCTTCGGTCAGACGTACGACCTGAACGTGTGCCCCTCACTGTTCAACATCGACGGCTGTTTCGTCACGGCCGACCGGAACCTCTACAACAAATCGGACGGCGTCCTCATCCACCACCGCGACATCTGCTCCAACTTGTCCAACCTGCCGCCGCTTCAGCGTCCGTCCTTCCAGAAGTGGATCTGGTGGAACCTGGAGTCGCCGTCGCACTCTTCCCAGCTGGCAGGCATCGAGAACATCTTCAACCTGACGCTTAACTACCGGCGCGACGCCGACATCGAAGTGCCTTACGGCTCTTTGCTAGCAACGGAGGGCGCGGGCGACTTTGTCCCGCCCAGCAAGAACAAGCTGATCTGCTGGATCGTGAGCAACTGGAATCAGGAGCACGTGCGCGTCAAGTACTACAACGAGTTGTACAAGCACATCGAGGTGCACGCGTACGGCCAAGCCTTCGGCGAGTACATCACGGACCAGGACTACTTCCCCACCATCGCCAGCTGCAAGTTCTACCTGGCGTTTGAGAACTCCATCCACAAAGACTACATCACCGAAAAATTCTACAATCCGCTGGCCGTGGGCACCGTACCTGTGGTGTTGGGTCCGTCCCGGCAGAACTATGAGAATTTCGTCCAGGGGGACGCCTTCATCCACGTCGATGATTTCGCCTCGCCCAAGGAGTTGGCCGATTACCTGCTGTTCCTGGACAAGAACGAGGAGATGTACCTCCGATACTTTCAGTGGCGGCGGCACTTTAAGGTGAAGATGCCGCTCTTCTGGGCTGAGCACACGTGTCTGGCCTGCGACTACCTGCGCAGGCACAGGGAGTACAAAACGGTCAAGAATCTGGACAAGTGGTTCTGGGGCTGAGCCGAGTTGTGCCGCCGGGGAAGGCTTGATGACTTTAATTCATTTGCCTCGTCCAAATCCCTTCCCAAAACTTGCACATTGTGTTTTTGTCATGATTCAGTGACCAATTCAATTTGAAATGGAGCCAGTCTTTGCGAAGCCTTAAATTTTGTCTTTTCGCTTCTCCCCGCAAAGCGATGCCCATCGACACATTCAACAATGTTCCTGACGCTTTTTTGGACCTGTGTTGATTCAGACACCAAAAGTCCGAATCGCCGTTTCAACACCGCGTGTTTCGCTGGGTTCAGGTGAAAGGCGAAGGACACCCTGAACTGGTCGCCGGCCAAGTCGCTCGGCGCACACAGAGACAAACGACCATTTCCACACCCACATCCAAAACGTGACTGAGCTGCTTGCGCATAAGTCAAGCGAGTGACGCCGACAGCGTGACCTAAAAATCCAAATACCCATGTAATTATCTGTTATGTAACATCGAATTCCTAAGGAGTGCTAACAGCGACCCAATGAGCACTCAACAAAACTTTTTTTGATGGAAAATCCTGACAAACGATCATTAAACTCTGATGCCAGGTCGAGGGAGGCTCCCAAAAATGCCAAAGCTTGCTATCTGGAAAAGAAAAAGCTGGGCTTTGCATTTTTGAAGTATCATGACACATCCGTGGTGACCCTAAAAGAGTGCAAATAAAATTCCACACAGTTCATTCACTAGAAGCATTTCTATCGATCACACGTGAGTAAAAACACACCCACAACCAAAATGTGACTGAGCTGCTTGCGCACAAGTCAAGCGAGTGACGCCGACAGCGTGACCTAAAAATCCAAATACCCATGTAATTATCTGTTATGTAACATCGAATTCCTAAGGAGTGCTAGCAGCGACCCAATGAGCACTCAACAAAACGTTTTTTGATGGCAAATCCTAAGAAACGATCATTAAACTCTGATGCCAGATCGAGGGAGGCTCCCAAAAATGCCAAAGCTTGCTATCTGGAAAAGAAAAAGCTGGGCTTTGCATTTTTGAAGTATCATGACACATCCGTGGTGACCCTAAAAGAGTGCAAATAAAATTCCACACAGTTCATTCACTAGAAGCATTTCTATCGATCACACGTGAGTAAAACGTTTCGGAAAAATGCTAGCTTGCGGGCTAACCGCTAACATTCGCGGTCGGTGTCCATTCCTCTTGTTGCATCCCCGATGTTGAAGACTTCCTGAGGAATTTGGACGTGGCGCCCAAAATAAAAGCCAAAGAAAATGGAAAACAAAAAGATGTCGACTCTTGTCACTGAAGTGTCGCAGCGTATACCGATGACCCAGTATACGCCCAGTATATTCCCATACCCGACATCAGGATGTTCTCTTTCAACAACAAATGACTTCAGTGTGACTTACATTTCGTTTTGTTTTGTTTTTCACACCGATAAGGAGACTCTCAATGTTCTGAAGTCTCATTTCAGCACTCCATTTTTTTAGACAAATCGCTAAGACTGGATCCTTTAAGATTTCACAGGTTCTCCTTTTTTTTTTTTAAATAGTATTCCTGACATCGAATGTTTTGACCTTAAGAAGAGTGTCATGCGTAACAATAAATGGTTAACACTGTACTTTTTTTTTTTTTTTTTTTTTTTTAATGGTTGACAGGTGTTTTTCATACAGTATTACCAGTAACTCTAACTTTGTCTTTACTACGGCGCGCTGTGAACTGAAAACTGAACTTGGTCGTAAACTGAAGACTTCAAACTGTCCTGTGCAAAGTCAGCTTCTTATGCAAGATCATTTCTATCTTCTGCCATGCACTGGAAAATCGTGGTGTGTGTGTGTGTGTGTGTGTGTGTGTGTGTGTGTGCGCGCGTGTGTGTGTGTGTGTGTATTCTGACTTAACTATGTGTGTGTGGGCGTGTGTGTGTGTGTGTTTTTTTTTTCCAATCCGATCAGAAAAAAAAAACGTAAATACAATTTCTCCCTTCATTTGTACTATTTTTCCGGCTTTTATTTATTTATTTAATTAAATATTTAAAAATTTTCAGATATAACATTTGCTGTGGAACTTTGATATAAAAAAAAAATATAATAAAAATCTCCCTTTCAGCGCAGTTCTTTTCTGGCTTTGAAAAGACAATTACAAATTTGAAAATAAATTCTACTTTGAGTCAATGTGTAAATTACCAAAGCACCTCACGAAATCCTTAAATTTATGGAAAAACTGGCCTTCTGTATGATTAAAAAAAAAAAATATCCAATATCCATCTTCTTACACTGATAATACCGCCGTCGATATCGATATTGTCTGTATTTGGATCTTTGTGGCCACCGCGACAGGAAATTAATTTTTTTCTTTCTTATGGAGCGCCATAGTGAAACATGTATTTATGTAAAAAGAAAAAAAAAAACCCAACGTCATGTGACAATAAGGTATGAGAAGGGATATGCTGTGTATATTTTGGAAGTGTTCGCGTTACACCCTGACGTCGATGGAAATGTCGTGGTAACCTTTTACCGAGCTTTTACACTCCAGTGTGCTTGTCGCGTTGGCCCGCTTGACTCTCTCTTGTTTTGCCAAACTTGTGCAGCCTCCGTGTGTGTGTGTGAACGTGACGCTCTCGACGAGGGGGCGCGAATCCCTGAGGCCCCAAAAAGAACACTTATATACACACACACACATACACACATCATACGTGGGATCAACGTGTGTGTGGGTGTCAAGTATTTTGCCATGTCGCCCATTTGAAATGGGTCAATCGAGTTTTTTTTCATTTTTGCCAAATCACTGTATTTTGCCAAATGTTGTATTTGAACTCTAGATGTCAACTAGTGTCAAAGAAAAATAAAAAATAAAGAGTGAAATGTGTGATGGCTGTCATGTCACAAGACAATGCTCAAAACACTTTCCATGAAGCTGTTTGGGTGTTTCGTTGCTATCTTTCAGCGCACCAAAAGAACAACTTTCAACATTTTTTTCCCCACGACTGCTTGCCACTCCCAGTTGACTGTCACACTGTATTTAAAGCAAACACATAACTGAGCCTCGGGTGCGCTAACGTCATGCTAATGCTAGCATCCATTTGACTGACATCTGAACACAAATTCTGCAGCAACACACGGAGACATTCAATATAACAGTATTCAATGCCGTATATTCTTTATCCTCTGCGAGGAGCCGAGAGGACCTTACACGTCTCTTATGCTGCCCTCAAGTGGCCAAGACAGCAGCACAAAGGCCATTCGATTGAAAGCAAAGTGTGACCAAAAAAAATGTTGAATTCCTTATCATTCTATTTCATTGTGTATACGTATTTCTAAAGCACAATATAACATGGAGCGCTGAATTGTCTTACTATTGGGGACAAAAGCGTACCAGTACAAAGTACCTGGACCTTAAGTTGAATATCAAGGATCAAGGAGATGGATGGATGGATAGATAGATAGACAGGTGTACCTAATGTTGTGTCTATTGTCTATATTGACATTGTAGCATTAGCACATTTCTTTGCAATAACACTCCCCTAAGTTGATGTACTGCAGCTCAAGTGTCCACACACACACACACACACACACACACACACACACACACACACACACACACACACACTCAAAGTGCAATATAATGCATGTGGTATAAATAGCTTGGGAGAAGTCCGGATAAGTGATTGATGATGTCGAGGAGAGCATGTTGTGGTGGTTACGCCTCAGCCCTGCGCCTGTTGTTAGTTACGCCCTGGCTCTCGCAAACTCGGCGCTATTTGCACCGCTATCGTCCGCGCACAAGTGGGAAGTAACCAAGTACAAATACTTGGTAACTACTTAACGTCACTTTGTAAGGTAGCTAAAGTCTCCTTGAGCAGAGTGGCGCGGAGTTTAATTTGTCACTTGTATCCCGGATTATCTTTCCCCATTAAAAAAAAATGGAGATCTTATTTTATTCATCTGTAACTTTTTTTTTTTTTTTTTTTTTTTTTTTAAAGAAGAAAATTACCACTATGTAGTATTGTGCTGATAAACAAATAGAAAGCACCTAAACGGTTGCATCTTCTTGGACTTAATTCAGTGGACATTGTTTTGCTCCTTCTGTTGTGTGTGCCTTGGTCCCTAGAGGGCAGTATAACACATACAGAGGAACCCCGATTGAACGGTCGAATTGGGCAAAGGGGTTGCCCGTGAGAGATGATATTTGTGGCCATCACCCAATAAAATACACCGAATTTTATTCTTTTTTTTTTTTTACCCGGCTTAAAAAGACCCAAATGATTGTCAATAAAGACTGTCTGCAAAGTTCTAGTGCCTTTCATGGGGGTGTTGTGACGAATCTTGTGCAGCTTGTCCCTCAAACCGCGATGCTAGTGCATTTTTCTTTTTTTCATCTTCGTTCCAAACGGATTCCACAGTACTTGCACCTTTACCTTCTTCTTTTTTGCAATACGTGTACTCGCTGCCTCTGTGTACGTGTGTGAGTGTATGTGTGTGAATTTGTATGTGTATGTGTGTGTGTGTGTGAGACAGTGGGTTCAGTGATGTCATGAATCCACTGATGCTATTTGAGGATTAATAGGAGGGCTCAGTTAACGGTGTTAGAGGGTCTCGCCAATCTGTAATAAAAAAAAAAAATAAAAAAAAAAGAAGCTATGCATACCGTTAAGGACAGATTTACTGACTGGATATCTGGTGACCAATCCCGCAACCAGCTGACCTATATATGTGGCTACTCGTCGACCGATTTAGCCTAGCTGTCTATTGATCTGTCACGTCGTCCTTCCGTCGGAGCAACTGGCTCACCAATGCACGGAAAACCCTCATTGGAAAGCCTCAGCCTTGTTCCAAACCCTATTTTGAAACCCCAAACCCGATTCCAAAACCTTCATTTTGAGCCAATGACCATTATTTGACCAACCTGACTATTGACCAACCAACTTTATCCAATGGCTAACCTACCAATCCATCGGACCCCCCCCTGACTTAGCATTCTGTCTGTTGACCGAGCTACCAAACAAGCAAATCTCTCTACCTGTTTATCCACACTTTCTATGGAGCACGTGTGTCAAACTCAAGGCCCGGGGTCCAGATCTGGCCCGCCACGTCATTTTATGTGGCCCGCGAAAGCAAATCATGTTTATCAACTTCCAAATCTTTACCAAAATGTCAAATTGTCATCTGTAATAAAATAATCTTGAGATTTTGCAATCATGTTGTGATCCTGTTTACGACCACCTGAACAATAACTGACCAAACTATTACAGTTGACTGATTTCAATCCATCAATTTGTAGTGTACAAGTAATAATACGATGAGACGATCAAACATTTATTTGGTTTCCCTGTCATAACGGCAGTGGCCCGGTAGTACAGCGCAACATCAATCTCACAGCGCAGAGGTTGTGGGTTCGATCCCGGCTTTCCTGTGTGGAGTTTGCATGTTCTCCATGGGCCTGCGTGGGTTTTCTCCGGGTACTCCGGTTTCCTCCCACATTCCGAAAGCATGCCTGGCAGGCTGATTGAACACTCCAAATTGTCCCTGCGATTGGCTGGCAACCAGTTCAGGGTGTCCCTCGCCTACTGCCCGAAGACAGCTGGGATAAGCTCCAGCACCCCCGTGACACTTGTGAGGATAAAGCGGATCGGAATATGGATGGATGGATGTCATTACGGAAGACGTCACTTCAAAGTGGCCCACGACAAAAATGATTTTGACACCCCTGCAACCAAATTATTTTTCTGTCTGTCTCTGTGACCAACCAACTTCCCCGCCGAACTATAACTCACAACGTGCCTACGCACCCGAGTACTGTAGCTGTCGACCAATACACTGTACCTACTCAGTCTGGCCATCCATCAGACAAAACCGACTTCCCTTTCTGCGGTGAGAAGTTAAAATCTGACATCAAGGACTACAGACATCACAGACTAAATATTGTTGAGAGGTTGAAATCAGTTACACTACTTCCGGTACTGACGCACCTATTTTACGTACTCCTACTTGACACCAAACTACCCATCGATCTCATCAGGTTTTTGCTACCCCATAATTGCCATGACTCATTTAGGTGAAAATTGAAGGAAAATGGGTCAGATCCAGCGGGAGGTAAGATTCCACGACTGGTTCCTCCCTGAAGAGGTGCAAGGTTCTTTTGCCTATTTGTTGGCACTCCATGTGGGGGAAAAGGGGGAGGGGGGGTGACGCATTTGTGTCATTAACCTCCACAGCGAGCCCTCATCTAATGGATGCCACTTAGGATGTCATCACCATGCCAACCAGCTGTCGGCGAGGCCTTTGTGTCGCGTTGATGTGTCCGGCGGTCACTCTCTCCCACAAGTCGTCGCTTTGAAAGGGTTCCGTTGGTGTAAATACTTCAAACAACCTCTCAGGCCGGATTTGCAAAGCCTGAGCATATTCAGATAAGAGCGACACCGAGGTCTGGGTCAAATAAAGGCTTATTTATTCCGATGCTCCGATGGCAGCGGCCTCGCCCTCGGCAATCAAAATGAGAGGATTAAGAATAGGCAAGATCACCATTTTTTTTTTTTTGGGTGTCGTGAACAATCTAGAAGCACCTGTTATCTGTCAATGATGCTAAAAAAAACAAACAAAATTCCAAGCATCATAACACGGATTAAAAATAGCTTGCAATTTGTTGAACTTTTCAGAGGTGCTGACACTTTAAGGTCTTTACATTTTTTTTTTTTTTTTTTTTATGATGATGATGGTCCTCTGCTGGACTCGAAGCCCTATTGCGCTGTAATCCAACTCTTTGTGTAATCGTCTTAGAAAATGGAAAGCAGAGTCAAATCACGGTCAGTGTAAGTTATTCCTCAGGGATGTCGTGTTTAACGCATAAAAGGGAATGTTACGTGTCGACAGAAGATCGTTCTTCTTGGCAGAGGGGAGCGTCCCTGTCACTGACCTCTCTATGTGTGTTTATATGTGTGTGTGTGTGTGTGTGTGTGTGTGTGTGTGTGTGTGAGTGTGTTTACAAGTGTGTGCGCGCATGTGTGTGTGTTTTGGAGGATTAACCCGTGAGCCAGGCCGGTGGTCTTCCCGGGCTATTTTTACGAAGAAGTTTGCCCCTCTTGATCCGTTAGGAAAAACGATAGGAGCACATTAGTTCAAGACTGAAAAGTAATTTGGCGACTGTCAATCACTTCTTGATGCCGCACACACACAAAAAAAAAAAAAAAAGGGTTTGCCTTTTTTCGGAAGGGCTTTGGTGAAAAGTCTCTATGGCGGACAAGCGCACGCAGGAGAAGTTTTTAATACCGTGTGGTACCTCAATTTATGAATGACCCAACCTGGGAGTACATTCGATCCACGAGATTCTGCTTTGATTTAAGAGCAAACGTTTGACATGCGAGCGCCACATGGTGACAGCCTACCTCCCAACAACACATTGAGTCATTCTTCAAATAGGAGGCCCAGTGCTCTTGCTTGAAGCGCTTTCTTGTATTTCAGCTAGCAGTTGAAGTTTACTGTAAAACAGAAAGATATAACAAAGAGAATTACACATTTCATATTCAACTAAACCACATTACTTTGCCTGATGAAAGTCTGCTAGCTTAATGCTAACACATCACTGGAAATCCCGTCCATGGACGAATGAAACCAGCACCAATATGTCCGAGTATTTATTAAAAACAGTCGACTAGTACGTGGACTTTGAAGCCGTTTGAGCATTTATTTATTTCGCTTGGGGCTCGATTTTCATGTACAACACAAGTCTTGCGCAAAGTGATGTACTGTACGGTGGTCAAGTTTTCTTTTTTTTTTTTTTTTATATCGGTATTTTTATAGACGGGCACAATTACAAATGGGCATTTGTCAAGTTGGCCGCTATGAAGTGGGCACTCGGAGACCAAACCTCATCATGTGCCACACACACACACACACACACACACACACACACAAAATTGGTCGCCAGTCAGTCGCAGGGCACATAAAGAGACAAGACAGACTTGAATGGGAAGCGATCCTACACTGCCCGCACACAAGTCAGGCGAGTGCGCCACTACATCATCAGCGACTTGCGCCGGCCTGGGGTATGTAATCGAAAACAACCTTGGTCCGCCAGAACACCTTGCCAGGGGCGAGTGCGGTCTGCCAAATTCCCAAACACGGTCAACTTGACTTTCCCCCCGACGAGAAAATGAAGATGCGCCAGTTTTTTTACGATGAGCCCATGTGTGCCAGTCTACGAAAATAGGGACCTTGAGGGCCATCTTAAGGTCCATGTACTCGTATGTTCTTTGTCCTCACGCAGACGACAATTCAGCGAACTGGGCCTATCTAGAACAGTTTTTTTTTCTACGACTGCCCTCCGCTGGTAGTGTTACAAGTGCGGGTACAAAGTGAGGACAAAGAGCATACTAGTACAAGGACCTTAAGATAGATATGAAGGATGTGGGGCAAATGCTCAAACTGCTTTCCAAACCTGCAGGGCGCCTTCTTTTCTGGCTCGCAGTTGAAAAGGCTTAGTGATGTGCTGGACATGGTCTCCCTTAAAAGGTGCAGAATGATGCAGCGGGGCACGTCCGCCCTCCCCCGGAGATTACAGCTAAATAAGAGACGCAGTATTTATAGAAGACAGACCCCGGCCCGTTGGGCAGCCCTTAATCCGTGCCTCGGCCCTTTTTTTCCAGATCGCTTGTACCCGAAGCGTTTTGCCGTTCATCCCCATTCGCTTTTCGTATCCACCGAGTTCCGCAAGCGACAATCGGTAACGACCATGTCGGCCCGCGAGCGCTTCGACTGCCATTACTGCAAAGATTCCCTCTTGGGGAAGAAGTACATCATGAAAGAGGACACACAGTACTGCACCAAGTGCTTCGAGAACCTGTTTGCCAACTGCTGCCAGAGCTGCTCCCAGCCCATTGGCGCCAACTGCAAGGTAAGCGCTCGGCATGCAAATCCTTCGGCGTGACTGACGAGTGCCCCGACGTCATTCAGTTGATTTTTTTTTTTTTTGCGAGCAAAAATGGGACTTTCGAATAAACTTTTTAGAACCGTTGTAAGAGCAAGTGAGTGCTAAGAAGCAGAAGATGACTCCTCTGCCTTTCCTAAGAGTGCCGTGTGCAGTTTGGGAATTGGCGGTCTTCAAAAAAGAGGGCAAGTGTGCTTGCTTCAAGTTTTTTTTTTTTGCCACTCCCAGTTAAAATGTTCTGTAAAACTAAACATAAAACAAGGACGATTAGACATTGTGCATTTAACCTAACCTACGGTAACTTTGTCTTCCGAAAGTCCGCTCGGTCAGTGCTTTCACAAAATGCAAAACGCAACAACCGAGCAAAAGCAGCAGTGACACTGAGGTAATTCTAAACGTTTAAACAACTTCCAACTGAAAACAAACGCTGCATTCAACACATTCTGACAAGTCATATAATAATACTAACAGGCATATATTGATTGTATAATCAATATATGAACATATCAAATGTATTTGCCAAATAGTCATCCTAATCCTATTGCCATTTACTGCAATTCACAAATAAAAGTCATGAGGTAGGTGAAATATTCCTTGCCAAATAGTGATTCCACTTGCCTTACATCCCCCATTGGAAGCCATGAGGAACAGTGAGGCTGAACGACACAAACTAGTCATCCTTAATTCAATTATTTCATTCACCATTCGAAGACAACAGGAACAGCGCTCCCACTTGCCAAATAGTGATCCCCTGCAACTTCCTTCCCTATTAAATGTCATTAGGAACACCAAGCGTGAAATTCCGCCTGCCAAATAGTGAGAGGCTGATCTTTGACCTGCCAACGAGTGATCCTGTTAGAGTGTAACTCATCACTAGAAAACACACAGACTTGTTGCAGTCCCCCATGGGCAATCGTTTGTTCATAGCACCAAAAAAAAAAAAAAATGGAATCAAGTACGATATGCTGCGGCTCAACTGTCCATTGATCCGACTAGGACCTGTCCTACAAGGACCGTCACTGGCACGAGGAATGCTTCAAGTGCAGCAAGTGCAGCCGCTCCCTGGTGGAGAAGGCCTTCGCCGCCAAGGATGATCTGATGCTGTGCACCGAGTGCTACGCCCACGACTACTCGTCCAAGTGCGCCACCTGCAAGAAGACGGTCATGCCAGGTACGCGCTACGCTGACCCCCCCCCCCAACCCCTCGACACATTCCGGGGTCCGATTACGTTGCGATCGTTTAACGTCCATCAACAGCCTTGTCTACCAGTCGTATAAAACGGCAACACAACACCGGAGTGCGCTAAGTCCCCCTCCCAAAACAAAAACCAGCGTGGGCTCGTTCCAGGCGTGACTATTTTTGAGCGTCCATGCCGCGGCTGAGCTGTTCTTGTATACCCCCGCACCCCACCCTGTGTCAGGTTCCCGCAAAATGGAGTTCAAGGGCAACAGCTGGCATGAGACGTGCTTCCTGTGCCACCGCTGCCAGCAGCCCATCGGAACCAAGTCCTTCATCCCAAAAGACGACGGCTTCTACTGCGTGGGCTGCTTCGAGAAGCAGTTTGCCTATCAGTGCTGCGCTTGCAAGAAGGTGAGTTTCGTCACGTCATAGGAGGCGCGGTACCCTTTCAACTGCCTTTTTGTCAACGATCGTGAGTACAATCTCGCGATCGATTCGCAAGAAGACAATTGGCTGTTTGGAGTGTCACGCCGAGAATAAAGAAGTAGGATGCGAAGGATGTTTGTTAGGATGTTAGAACATACCCGGAATAGTCACGTGAAAGCACGGTCTTCACCAGTCCATCACGACGGGCGGCGTGACGTACCAGGACAAACCGTGGCACCGCGAGTGCTTCCTGTGCATCGGCTGTAGGAAGCAGCTGTCGGGCCAGCGCTTCACTTCAAGGGAAAACTACCCGTACTGCCTGGAATGTTTCAGCGAGCTCTACGCCAAGAAGTGCGTGGGATGCACCAAGCCCATCACAAGTGAGCCACCGTTCATTTACTTCTCATTGCGACCATCTCTCGTGATGTCACTGTCGTGCAAACGGGGTCATTCCGGAATTGATTTGAAGCGCTGATCATTTGTTCCATTTATTTTATTATTTTTTTTCCACAACAATCAGGATGTAATTTTTGACCAGGTCAGCTCCACCATCAACAGTTCATTTTTTTAAAATAATTTCTTTGGCATAGTATATATTTTGCGGCGGCACGGTGGACAACTGGTGATTTTATAATGTACATCTTTTGAGCACGATTGTTAACGTATATTGTGAGATCGGTTTGTTAGTTTGGAAAAAAATTGATTTTTTTTACTCTTTGTTTGTCACTTACCTTTTTCTCTCTTCCTCCAAATGGTTAAAAAGGTTTGAGTAAGATTGTTGAGAAGATGTTTATTTGCGTGGATTATTCATCATTTTACAGAGTGGGTGAGAAGGAGGGGCGGGTTGTGTGAGTGGGCATCATATGCCCACGTCTGCAATGACCCAAGCCTTTTTCTGTTTTATTTGGGGTTTTTTTGCACAGGTCTGGCTGGGGCCAAGTACGTTTCGTTCGAGGAGCGTCAGTGGCACAGCGAGTGCTTCACGTGCGGGCAGTGCTCCATGTCCCTGGTGGGCCGAGGCTTCCTTACCCAGCGTGACAACATCCTGTGCACTGACTGCGGACGCGAGAAGTGATCAGCTTTGCGCAATGTCGCATCGAGCTCATGTTTACGAATGGGAGGTCGTGTAAAGATGAACAAAGTGTCTTTAAATGGAATGCGTGTACAACACTTCTAGGCTTTTTTTTTTTTTTCAAGTGTCATATTAGACTTTAGCTGCGCACCCAAATCAGTTTTTTTTTTCCTTTGTCGGTTCCTCCTGCCTACATACTTGTAGTACCTCCTCCAGCCCACTCTACTGTTTTATTTTGCAAGCCTACCTACGATAGTCCACCCTACTCTTTTATACCCTGGCAACTAACTCTACCTTACCTACTATCAATTTTTCTTCCGGCTTATTTGTCCTACTTACCTGCTATATTACACCCTATTTATGGACATATCCAATCTACCCTACTAACTATTTTATACTCGACTTGTCTGCCTGTCCTATCTACGGTACTGTATATACTCCAATCCGCCGAGCTGTCAAATCGACCAACCGACTTGCCCCATCTGTCAACTCAATTTTACTGTACCTAGTACACTTTGGATTTTATACCCCATACTGTTTCACCCTACCTATTATATATTAGACCCCACCCACCTACTTTACCCTACCTACTGTATCACATCGTAACTTTCCAACCTATAAACCTGCCTAACCTACCTACTCCACCCTGCCTACTACAGTATATTACACCCTATTTCCCTCCCTGCTCTATATACCTACCTACCCTATCCACCTGTAGGAGACTGGACTGGTTCAGAATTGTCTATGTCGATGTTAAAAGAATTATTCCTTTGTTGTGTGTTCACAAACACCCCCCATTGATTTTATTTTGTCATTTCCTTGCTGGATTTTCTGTTTTGGTGCATTTTTTTCTGATTTTCTTGGTGCCATTGAAAGTGTCGTTAATTTACGTTTTTTGAGGCGGTCTTTGAACGCCTCTCTAGCCGAATTCGGGAAAGAAGGCACATCGTGGAAGGGAGACGTGCTTGTAGTCGTTTGGGAGTTTTAAGAAATGAATAAAATGTACGTTTAAAAGACATCACTGCAGCTCTTTTTGTCTCGGAGCTGCAACACACCCAACACGCTGTTTCTCCTAAATGAGCACTTTATTTAGTTTCAGTGGACTCACTATTTGGCAAGTAGCAGCTCACTGTTGTGCAGACGGTTTGATTTCCAGCAGTGTGCTAAGTCTAAGTGGGCTCTTTTTTTTTTGGACAAGGACTCAGTCACTTACAGGAGACCTACTCAGTGATGCAGTCGCATTATTTGGCAAGTAGTGACTTACTATTGTTGAACAGGCTCACTATTTGGCAAGTAGGCGGTCACTCTCACACTTTATGTCCACTGCCATATACTGTAGCAGTGTCGCAAGTCTCAGTGGGCTGCTGTCTGGCAAATGATAGGACACTCAAACTAGTCCTTATTTAAGGACCGAGTACCAGTTTTTGGCAAGTAGTAGCTCACAGTTGCCCTGTTCACTTTTGTGTTACTGCAAAAAAAGCTAACACAGGCTAACGGAGGAGGTGGTACGGACAACACTTGAACAAAGCAACACGGAGAGAGTTGGTAGGGGCAGTGAAAAATGAAATTTGTTGGGCTGCTGTGCGGAAGTGTGAAAAAGCTAACGCAGGCGAACGGAGGAGGTGGTACGGACAACACTTGAGCAAAGCAACACGGAGAGAGTTGGTAGGGGGAGTGAAAAATGAAATTTGTTGGGCTGCTGTGCGGAATTTAACGCCTTCACGCAAACACACGTGTGAGAGGGAAGCGGGCACACACAGCGTCCAGCGGGTGATTCTGTCCAATGCAAATGTGGACGCGGGGACTAGAGATGCTACCGCGCAACACCCACGGTTCTTCAAGTGACTCCAACCAGAGAAGAGTAGTAGAGCAGTCGTCTTCGAACACAGAGGTCGGCGGTTTAATCTTCGGCCATGTCGACGTGTTCTTGATCAAGATACTGAACCTCCAGTTGCTCCAGATCCTGCGTCATCAGGAGGTAAAAGAGGAAACAGTGTCAAAGCACTTTGAGTGCCAAAGGTAGAAAAGCACTAAAGTTTCTTTTGGAGTAATTACTTCTCCGTGGCAGCCCATGTCGGTACAGCTCTCGTTTCACTGAATGGCTAATGACCCATTCTTCCCACTTCCAGCCAGGATCTTCACAAGGTTTTGTGTCTTTGAACTTGGGTTGCTATGCACATTTGGGACCCAAGCACGTTTGTTTATCTCTAGCACACAGAACCCGTCTCCTTCCTGAGCGCCATAATGACTGGACGTCATTATGGTGTTGCACATAATTGTTCGAACAGATGTACAAAGAAGTAAGGTGTTGGAGGTGTGCCCAGTTCCATCTCAGAAGAGTCTTGAGCAAAATGAAATTTGTTACATTGTTTTGGGCGTGAAAATTTGTATTTTTCCGTCTTCAGGTTTACAGGCTTGACATCATCTGGACTTGGACTCGGATTCTCAGCTGCGGACTCAGACTTGACTTGGATTCAGACCTTTGTGACTCGAATTGGACTTACCGCGTCTGGTGGTTGAGAAGCTGGTCGCTGGAGGAGGCCTTGATAGCGCTTGAGGGCAGAGCTGCCAATTGTATGACTCACACGAGGTAAAACGCAGTTCATAAAAGAGCACTATTGGGAGAATGCATTGATTCATTGTACAGCGGTCAGTGTGTGAACAAAGGAGCCCACTCATGGGCTCCTTTATCAGGGGATGAAGCGAGAGAAAAGGACATGTCTTATTCATGACTCACAGCTTGACCAACATTGAAGCCGCTTTGGCTTTTATTTGCTCACAGGCCAAATGGCACTATGCATCGTTTCAATTGTTAAAATGACCATTTTGCGCACAGTGCATAGCTGCAATACTAACCTTCAAGCTGGTAAACTTAATGATCATTCCTGACTATATGCAGCAGGGGTGCTCAAATTACAAATCCTAAAAGGCCGCAAAGACATTTTTCAATGTGTCAAAGGTCCATTTTTCAAGGTTGTTCAGGCGACATATGAGTGCGGTCAAAAGAAATGAGCCCCTGTTCAATTCCCCCGACTTATTGTCGGAGACTGGACTGGTTCAGAATTGTGTCTATGTTGATGTTAAAAGAATGATTCCTTTGTTGAATTTATTTTGTGATTTCCTTACGGAATTTTCTGTTTTGGTGCATTTTTATTTCTTGCTGCCATTGAACGTATCATTAAGTTACGTTTGTCTGAGGGGGTCTTTGAACGCCCCTCGAACAGAAGTCAGAAGAGATGTTCTTGTATTCGTTTGGGAGTTTTAAGAAAATAACAAAGTGTACGCTTAAAAGACAACACTGCAGATATTTTTGTCTCGGAGCTGCAACATTATTGTTCAGATTTTTTCACACTTAGCACGATTTTGACAAAATTCTTCCTAGGAGTTTAAATGTCCGTCAGTAACGTTAATTTATTTGCTCCGCCGCTGAGCATATCGTGTATCATCCAGCCTAGCAGGAGCAGCTTGAGCGTCAGGTGGGTACGCCTCGCTGACACCTTCCAGTTGGCAAGTGAGAGCAGCAGATGGCGAGATGCATCACATCGCGGACGATTGTCAAGCTAACACGGCCGCGTTTGTTGTGCCATCCTGCTAATTTTCTGTTACCACTGTTTTAACTCTCTGGGCTCTCTGGTGGACATTTGTGTCTACTTGACAATTTTTTTAACATGATTTTAGCTGTTTTAAAGCAAATTTAATGCAACATGGCAAGTCGGGATATATATATATATATATATAATTTATTTAATCACTCATAAGACATCCCACGCCAACAAGCTAATGGCTCAAGCTAATGTTTCAGGCGCGTCACATAATCATTCCCCTTCTTTTTTTTTCACCTTGATCACAAGGGTGAAAATTATGCCCACGGTATTTATTGTATTTTGTTACCCCACTGGACACACATCACAGGATAATCATTAAGGAGGATATTTAGGAGAAAACCATCCACCAGGCTTTTAGTTGATTTACACTGGAAACGAGGGGAAATGCTCCGGTTGGTCTTGATTGTTGCTATGCGTGTAGTCGTTTTAACACGGTGTAAAATGGCTTCCACTTCACGGCACGTCTTGAGCTGGACCCGCACGAAGTCCTCCGACTGTGAGACGCGGATACAGTTGAATACAATACGTCTTTGTTTGTATTGGATGACACACGGGCGTCTACGCTTCCTGGCCTTCCTGGGAGACTTCTTCCTGACTGCAGTCAAGAGCCATTGCGCGCGGAGCCTGGTGCGCGGAAAGCAGGTGGATGGCGCCCCCTTCAGGATTTACGTCAACGCGGCACTTTGGTGGCCTCTCCCAGTGCAAATAGTCTGGATGACCGTGTGCCGCTGCTGGAGAGGAGAGGCCTCCGGATTAGACAATTTAATTGAATAATGCACAAGCACCCAGTGCGATGCATCAAACATAATAACATCTAACTGAAGAAAGAAAGAAGAAAAATAAAATGCAAGTGTCACATGTCTCATTAATAAAGTATGAATCCAATTAATCTCAATCCAGGCAGATTTTCCCCCACGTGGCCCCTGGGGGTTGCTTTGGAGTCAGAGCACGTGCTAGCTCTGCTGAGGATGATCACTCTGGCGCTGGTCTTGTATCTCCAGCTCCTCATTGAACGGCTGAACGTTGAGGTGGGTGAGTTTAATCTAATGTTCGCCACCTCTATTAAATGCTCAAATGGCTGTAATGGTTGGAGCCACTGTTCCCTCTCAGCATGGTTTGTGAGCAAATGCGCACTGCCCCCTGCGTGTCTGCGCACAAACTATCTGAGCTGCGCACAAGGTAAAAATCCAACCAGTATTGAAAATAAAATAAATGCATAAATTATTCTGTATTATGCAACACGTGATTGGCTGTTCCAGGTTGTTATTTGACGCGATTCGCTCACGCATTTACGTCATGACGTTGTTTACTGTAGAAAGGTCTACTCTGCAAAACGTGTTGCGAAGCTAAAGTAGCAAGCGAAAAAGGTGTGCAGCGAATGGAAACTGGACTACCTCAAGCGTCACATTCAGCACAAAAGTTATTTGAATGCAGTAAAAGTTGTACAACGATGCAAGATGGGAATGGGGATCGGTACGTTCTTGGCAGAGAGCGCCCAAAAACCGAGAGAAGAGTAACGAGCTGTCAATCGTAAACAAACAAATCCAACCCGGAGCAAGTCAAACATCCTCATCGACAATGTTGTACAAGCCATCAAAATGAATGAATCAATGCTGTCGGTCCAACAAATTCACGACCCCATGGCAAAGTATGTGAGTATACCAGACACACAATGCACAAAATACTCGTCTTGTACATTAAATACAGAGAGAAAAATAGTTTCAATCATAAAATTGTGTTTGGTGGAATAGTCCAGCTGACAACATGCGCTGCTCAGGATATCGTGCAGGCAATAACTCAGTTTTTCTCCAAGCTTGAAGTAGACATACAGAGAATGGTTATGTTATGCTAACCTCCGATGGTGCCCCAGGAAGGAAGGACACTGTCACGTTGCGGTTCATGGCAGTCCAAGTTTTGCCATATAATTTATACAAAACATTGTTAAAACAGCTATGTTAATATGCCACACTTTTGGTTACATAACGTTTGAGTTTTTTTCACTGAAAGTGGACAAACACACTTAATAAAGAAGTCATTTGATAGAAACTATTGCCATAATTTTATTGTTTTAATGAAAACATGTAACTTGAATGTATATGATGCATATGATACTGCGTGACCACAATATGCATGTCGCATGTTGCTCACAGTGGTCCATGGGGACCGCTCAGGGTGTTTGTGTGTTTGCCCAGACACAAAAACAATTAGATCGAACATTGGTTGGAGCCCCACGAGAGGCGCCATTACACTTCCCTGGCCAGGCTATCATCATCTGCAAATCCTTCTCGATTTATATTCAAATGAATACATGACAAAGACAAGTTATTGAATGCTCAAACTGATAAATGTTTATCGTGCACTGTGTTATATCAACTTTCCTTTCAGCGGGTTACATTTTTATTTTTCGGATGTTTTATTACAAAACACCTGACGTCACATGCCACATATTTAGCAGGAGTAAATTAAAAATGACTTGAACAACTCTGATGTCAGGCTAATGATGGCTGTGTTTGAATGTCGGGCAGAGATGGGCAACATAATTGATAGAGGGTCATCACAATTTTTCAGCGTAGAAGAGCAAACATGTTTATAATTACACTGCCCCAAGCAGTTTGGGTTCCGTTGCTTCCTACCGCTGCAAATCATGCTTTAAATCATTAATGAGGTGCCAAAAGAAGCACAATTTAGCTCAGTCATGTGCATTATTAGTGTGGCCTTGTGACTAAGTGACAACAATGGCACGCTGCCCAGGAGCCTCATTAGAAGAGAAACAATAAAGCCAGGCTGGAGATAATGTCCTCAGCACACTGCCATCATTCCACTAACTGTCCCTGCTGCAATGTGTCACTCTGCCAGAGCGATGCTTACAGCGTCTCGTAAAACTGAGTCCACCCTTACATTTTTGTAAATATGATTCTATCTCGTCATGGAAAACACCAAAAAAAAAAAAAAAAATGACACTTGGCTACAATGTAAAGTAGTCAGTTTCCAACTTGTATAACCGAGTAAATACGCTGTCCCCTCAAAATTATTCAACAGCAATGTCTAAACCACTGGCAACAGAAGTGAACACACCCCGCTGTGAAAATGTACAATTTGGGCCCTGGTATCCATTTTGCCTCACCAATGTCATGTGACTCATTCGTGTTCCAAGGTCTCAGGTGTGTTAACATTTTGCGTTCTTGCCCCCACACTCATATGGGTCTTGAAAGTTCAATATGGCACCTCATGGCAAAGGACCCTTCACGGGGCTCTGAAAAAAGATAGCTTGGAAAATAAGAACATTGGCAATACCCTGAAATGGGGCTGCAGCAAAGTGGCCAAGACCATCCCGTCAATAATAAAATAGTTACAAGGATGTGAGTCGGGTACTCACGTTTGTGAAATACTGTGGCATGCTAACGCCCCCTCCACCACCCAATAAGCATCATAGATTCCCTGTGCGACCAAAAGAAATATACAAATATATCCCAGTGTCCTCCAATTTAATGATATGTCTTTTAGTTAAATTAGAAAAAAAAAAGGTCCTCTGACTTCATCTCCTGTGCGCAAGACATACAATCTTAAAATTAGCCACCAGCCTGTTTACTTTACTGCCTCTTCAAACCTGTAATTGTCGTGCGCCTTTTCGGCTGTAAACGCACGTTAATGCATGCCGTGAATAAACACACCACACGGACCCCCTGCTCTTAATATACACGGCACCAGAGTGATGCATGTGTGACTGGAATGGCCGCCTGCTTTTGAAAAGTGCCTTTGGTCTTTCGGTTGACCGACGGCGGTTGTCTAATTGACAACTGCGCCGTCTCCAGTGTCCCCACCGTTGCACTTTTTGGCTGGGAAATGGAAATGTGTCACCCTTCAAAAAACTATATATAAAAAAATTATGCAAGGCTAGCTTTTGTTAATTGTATTTTGTGCAGTGCTATCTTTTTTTTTGCTGTATTTTGAAACCAGTTATTTAGCACAATGTATTGCCCAAGCTTGGTGAATCACGTTTTGCCAGAGTTTAGAAGAGAGGAGGCACTAGCAGCAATCAAAGGGGAAAAAAATGGCACTGCGAATATATATTAAAAAAATAATAATAATAATAATAAAAATGGACAATGTTTTATCATCTGTGCATGGTGCAAACAATCTGTAATTTGAGGGGCTGAAAAAAATTACCCTAATGACAAGAATTATAAAAACAATTTTTAGGCAGCATTAAAAAGCTAAAGAAAAAAAACATTTTTAAAAATCTGAAAAATTAATGATACTTTTGGTCATGAACAAGCTGAACAGGGAAGTAAAATCAAACATTTTGCTCAAATTTACCCCCCTCCCCACACTCCCAAATGTTTTATTGTTCTATTAGTGTGTTGGGTGTAGATTTCAGGGGGAAAAAAAATATGGATGTACAATAACATGACAAAATATGGAGAAAAGCCCTCCTTTGTCATTGTATTCTGCTCTTTTTCCTCGCATGCCCACGGCGCATCTGTGGGTGCCAAGTGTCATCCAGATGGTCACTTGAGTGCGGAGTAGACGCACACATCACACAGTTGGAGCAGGCTTTCGTGTCTGGTTAGAAATATCCTGCTGTGTGCTTTTCTAAATTTAAAAAAAATATGTCTGGACTGTGGCATACAACTGTTTGCATGTTGTGTTTGTATATTGAAAAAAAATGACATGATGTAAATAGTTTTTTTTTTTTATGATGTTTTTATCATCTTTGATGCTTATGTACAGTATACTTGTGTTACCATGTTGGTACTGTCGTTTGTTTACACAGAAACAAATCGGCTGATTTTTTTTTTCCACTCAATGTTTAACAAAATAGTAAAAAAAAACGCTTGACACAGATCCTGTATGTAGAGTGTGGCATTAGCTTTTTAAGCTAGCCATGTTAGCTAACCTTGCTAACATTTTACTGCCCTAATGTGTCAGTACTGGGTCCTGAGTTTCAGAAACAAAAATCAGATAAAACAAAGATTTTAATTGACTATTACTTTATGAATATACAGTATAAATGTTGCTGAGTGAAGTTTTTTTTGTCAGTTTCAGGCAGAAGTAACATTTTGTGCTCTCTGTAGCATTTCATTGATTTCATAAATACAAAAA